TCTTAAGAGTGGCAAACCCATGGCATTAAATGCAATTTAGGCAGCAATATCACAACCAAGAGGTCTGACCAAGCCAGCAGTTTGAGATGAAAATGATAGTTTAACATTGAGAGTTGATGACTTAGAATATAATGCTTATTCAGTAGGATGCATTTTAGCAGGTTTCAGGAGATAATGGTCTGGTCTTGCTGCTAAACTGAGTTTTCTGTGTCTATTGTATATTGTAGAGGAGAGGGGGACCCTGTATGTTTTTGGAAATTATTGCACACACAAGATTGTCTTCTGCATATTATCCCATCTGATGTCGATGAAAATAACACAGCAAAAAGAATTTCAAGAAGTCATCAGGGTAAAAGAAAAGAAAAAAAACACTTGAATTCAGTTGTGAGGGAGAAACTTCCATTTTAATTTAAAACTATATTTCTATTCATTGTTAAGACTGGTTTGGAACATTTCTAACGAAAAAATGCACAAAGGATTAATTCGCATTTTCTTCTCTCGTTATTATTTGGCAGTCAAGATTCAAGCTAGATCCCGCTATCCCAAAGATCCATTTGTGTTCAAGAACACAACTCACAATTTTCAGCTTGTGACTGAGCCAGGTGAAGGAGTTCTGTCTGGAGCCCGTCCCAATTTGTAATAACTGCACCCCTCAATGTTCTACCTTAACATGCTGAGTTCAGTTAAGGAGAAAGATGCACTGCTGTGGCTGTCAGCATGCATTTAGCTTGTCGGATGGCAAAATACCAAACAGCAAAACCATAAAAAACAATTAATAATTAAAGCTACCTTGCCCCCAAATTAGTAGCTTGCTCAAGACTCCAGTCGGAAGCCTTTTAGCTAGAAGCCTTTGCAGTCAAGCCACTGTGCATGCCTCTTACTCAGAGTGGCTCCAGTGTGAATATGACGTTACTAACGACCTGCTAAGTGTGTGCAGATGTGGGTTTCTCCAGATGTGGTGATTAATAACGTAATGGAGATAGCCAGTCGACTCATGTTTATGGGTTGTTTGTCTTTTATTACGTTTCCGAATTTATTTGCTTTGAACTATTTTTTAACTCCAGCCAACAAATTCACCTGTAAGTCTCAAAGGACTTTATCCCTCTAAACACTAATGAGGAAACAGGGAAGAAGGATTGTGCCCCCAGGCTGGAATTGAGCATCAGATCTATCACATGTCAGCTTTAGACTAGTTAGGAAAGCTGAAAGTTTTCTGTTGCTCCATTTTACTGGAAGGGCCCACAAAGAGGCATTGGTGAACACTGACACAGTGTTTTCAAGCTGGCTAGGCCAATAAAGAAAGAGATTTCTTTTTCAAAAAAATCCAGTGAAATAGATGATCATCTTGAAGTAAGTCCAGAGTTCTGGCCAGTGTTTCTGGAAGATGTTGCCTTGCTTTCGTTTGAAAACAGAATGCCAATGAAAAGTCGAGTAAAATGTTGTTACAGATGTTCAGCTGTGCATTAAGGCTGTTGGAATTACCACCACATCTTAAAATCAATTCCCAGAACATTGTCTGGAGGTTATGTCATTGAAATAATGAATCCTCTTTAGTCAAGTATAAGCAAACATGTTAAAACATCATTGTAACTTTAAATTAAACTCTAGTGCAAACCAAGGGATCTGGAGCCCCATTAGAATTGCCTGACATTTTTCTAGCACTGTCTTCCCAAACTGTAGAAGTGTTAGCTTCAGTGCCTATTAGACAAGCGAGTACTGGGAAGTTACCACAGCACATTAGGTGTTATGCTTAGGGCTGTGCAGAAACAAGCCCTTGCATTTTATGAGTGCTTGGAGACTGGATTGAATTCAGCTCCTATAAAAATTCCACAGTGGATTCCTGAACTTGTTTGTGTTTTAAAGAAGCTGGTAAGTCAGCTTCTTTTAAAAGACCATATCTTCATGCAGCTTCCACAGCACGATACAAGTGAAAATGCTGGAGACAGAAGTGTTTTGTAATTAGCCAAAAAGCAGGTTAAATATGAACCTGTTAAGTGTGCGCCGACATGAGATAGTGGCCCGTTACTTCAATACATTTGTCTTTCGTGAAATTAAGTAAATTTGTCTCCCTTTTAATTCAATTTTTATTCCTTTCATGTAGTCACAGAAGCAATGAAATGAAAATTGTATTTTATGGCTTTACTAAAAGTTTTCCTAGATCTACTTTCTCTAACTATGCAGAAATTGATAGAATCCATATAAAGGATAATAATTAAATGTGGTTTATATCCTACTTATGAGAAAGAAGTTATCACAGCTTCTCTTGTGGGATCTAAGCCGTATGTAATGGTCTCCATTACACAACGTTCATATATTTAAGCTGGAGACATTTTCCCCCATCTCTTCAGGGAACAGATCTGCATTTCCAGGCTATGAGTACAGAACGAAACCTTTGAACACGAGTTTCCTTTAAAAGAACAAATCCCAGTTTAAGTGCAGTATGATTATGCTGGATGATCTTTCTGAGTTGCAGTGAAAATAGTTTCCTTGCATAGAAGGAGGCATAATTTAGCACCAGAACAAGGTGTCTCCCTGGAGCTGGGTAACAGGTATTAACTTGCAAGTCTTCCATTTGAAGATTGCCACACGTAATCAAACAGTGACAAGGTGCAAGGATAATGGACGCTTACCTGAAGAGGGTTATTTATTGTAGGCACAGTGCAAAGAATCCAACAGAAATGCCAGTGAGGGTGACTCTTGTGCAGATCTTAGCTAATATAGACTCATTGTATGATTGGACAAAACTGTGGCAACGTCTGGTGGCCCTGAATAAAGCTAGCCCTAGTAGACTAGGTTATGTAAAAGACCTTTTTGGATATTTCATTCTAATCATAAGAAGGCTTATGTGATAGAGAAGAAAAGTAGTTTCACCCTCACGAGACCCACTGATAGGCACACGTTATTTAGTCCATCATGCTACTCAACTAATCTAGGCCACCCTGAACACAATACAATTACAATGGTCCCTACTAAAAGGGATGACCTTGTATTACGGGTGGAGTCAATGCAAGACTTTCTCCCCCATCCTAAAATGGGGAAAGTGCAAAAGTATACCTATCTATACACACACACATTCTCTCTCTCTCTCTTAATATAACTGCGTTTCTACCCATTATTGCCTGGGATGCCTGGCCCTCTGTCCTGTGAAAGGAAGATGAATTCAGGTCAAGCTCAGAGTGCCTGTTTGCTTGCCGAGAGATGCATATCAACTCTAAGTGATTTTTTTCAATACCATTTATGTGGCTTGTATTTATTTCCTTTAATCTTTTAAGTGCTGTTTAGTCTCTGTGTGATTTGCTGTGGATACTCATTTCTGATAAGATGCGATATCCTCCCAGTTACAATTTCTACTTGGAGCCCTAAGTGACTGATATGGTTGAAGCCTGAGCCCGGGCCTCTGGTGGGCAGCACGGGGGGAGCAGGTGGTAGAGTGAGTCGACTGTGGGCATTTGCAGGTGCTTTCTGGCCTTCATTTCTTCTGGTATTGCTCTCGCCTAGAACCACATGCTTGTTCTCTTCCCCTGTGTTGGCCAGAATTTAGACAATCCCTAACTGCCCGTAGAATAGGGGCTTTGTACCAAGTGTGACACTTTGCAGCAAGTTTGGAGGGTAGTTTGATTATTATAATCCCTTTGGAACCGTGCATCATAACATACTAAATTTATTTAGAGTTTTCATGGATATGCCATATAATGCATGTCCTGATGTGGGTCTTCCTGGATAGTATCAAGTAGCTGAGATGGCATTTTCTCCCCCTCCTAAGACTTGTATACCATTAACATATGTCAAGCTTCTTTTAATGTTGTCACTGCTAATATTTCTCTTCTTAGCTTTAAGGTAACTGCTGTGCATTCTGGGTTTCAGGGGTGCTTCCTCCCAGTCTGTGTTGCAGTCAACTATAAGAATCCAAGGATCCTATTTTTCCCTCTTGACATTACAGCTTTGGCATGATCGTGGGGGTGGGGAGAGGAGGACTAGAATTTTGCCGCTGATGCCCTTGGGTGACAGGCTGGGTATGCATCTGCTAATTATCAAGCAGCTTTCTTAAAAAGAAGCATGATGCAGGCTAATACATCTACTAGAGCTTATTAGTGGGTGTCTTTGGGCAAAAGCCATAGAGTGTGCTGCGTTGTTTGTGAGCAGAGCTTCACATTGCTTAGCGATCTGCCTGGTTTAGACATTTGGAAAACAGCCTTTGGTTTCCAATCCCCTGTGCTGCCTTCCCTCCCTGCCCCCAACCACAGCATCAGAGAATCATTCAATGGCAACCTCCTCCTTCATTTGATGCTCTTCTGCAGCCCAGTTCTGCAAACTCACAGCCTGGTCCTCCTGTCTTAATGAGTTAAGAAAGGATCCCACGTGCATGGTCCCACGTGCCCTCCCTCTTGGGCGGTGAGCTGGGTTGGGCTGGGGATTCTTGAGCCAGCATGCACCCATCCTCCTAGTCCTGACTGACTGAAACATTGGCTCCTGAGGCCTCAAATCCTTGCCTCTCCAAGGCTTCCTCTGATGTGCAAGGATTAGGAACCAGTTAAGTTGGTTCATTTGCAGAAGCAGCAGGCTGGCAGCTATTATGTGGCTATTTCAAATACAACTTTATATCTGATTTTGGTTACAAGGAAACCCATTTGATTGCCCAGGAAAGCAAAGTAACCAAAATTAGATCTAAGAATAATGATTGAGTCTTCCCATATACATATATATTTTGTATACAGATAAATCATGCTTTCTATTCTTTCTTATGGCAGGGCGTTTACAAACTGTTTTAGTCTGTATAAAGTGCACGTTCAAATGCTGGCGTGTGAAGAGGCGATGCTCCCACCTTTTCTAAGCCGGCCTCTTTAACTAACACATTTGGTCTTTGTCGTTGGGTCCTAAAAGACAGCCATGAATTCCTAGTGAGTGACTGAGCCGTGAGTGTGTGTCCTTTGATATCTTGCCTGTATTTCACAGTCTGCCTTCAAACTGTTCATAATCTCATGAGCTGCCTGTATTTCCAGTTGAAGATGAGCAGCCATCAACACTGTCACCAAAAAAGAAGCAACGCAACGGAGGCATGCGGAACTCACCGAGCTCCTCGCCCAAGCTGATGAGGTAAGGAGAGGGGCCTCAGCCGCGGGGGTCCCCCCCAGCTCCTTCTCTTCCTCTCCTCGCTCCTCCCTAGCCTGCCCAGGCCCAGAGCCTCCCCTCCCCAGCCAGCATAAGGCGGGGGAGGGGACGGGATCATTAGATGGCTTCTTAAAGGCTGGAGTATTTATTCTGTCAGCTTGTCAGCAGTTAATGATAGAGCTGAAAAAATTCTGTCATGAAAAACAGTTTGAAAAGCTGTTTGAAAAATACATAGGCTTTAAAGTCTTAGCTGTCACCATGTCCTGTCTATGTGTAGTTCCTAAACAGCAGTGGCACTAATGACGGCAGCAACCAATCAGAGGCACTCGTGTGGTTAGTTTGCCTCTGGCAAGTCTCTTTCTGCTGGAGTCCCTCCGAGGACTGTTTTCTGTACTTAAGGCCATATGTGAGATGTATCATCACAATCAAAAATGAACCTGAAGATTACCTTCCTTTTATCCTGTCGATTGAAATCAAATTTCTGTTAATTGATTTTGACTGATAAAAAAGTCTAATAATCTGTGGACTTGCCAAAGTAAAGTTCAAAAGTAATCCAGTTCTGCTCAGGCTAAAAGGAATATTAATTATGAAATACAGTGTGTGTGCACTCTTTCTTTCTCTCTCTCTTCTTCCTCCTTTTCTCCCTTCCTTCCTTCCTTCTTTCCTTCCCTTCTTTCTGTCTTGACTACGGCTTTCTCTAGGAAATGGCAAGTGAAAGCAAATTTCAATAGAGCTCTGCAAGGCCCTCTTCTCGGCCTCTTCATCTTTCATCTCCCTTTTTTGTCTTCAATCCATCTCCCAAGCTCAGTGCTTATTTCTTCCAATATCCTAACTCTCTAGCACCTCAATGAAACAAGAATGATTTCAGATTTGCACTGCTTCCTCTAAATGGTTACTGCCATGGAAACACCTGCCATCTTGACATTACTTTCTTCTTTTCATTGCCATTGGCCACTCTCCTCTCTATGATTATTGAAATACAATAATGGCGATTTCTCCTCCTTCCCCACTTCTCCATCACATTTACATCTTCCTGGCCCTCCACAACCACCTTTCTAGGATGTAGACGTGGGCAGCCCTTCTTCACGCAGTTGAGGACACAGGTTCCAGTGGAAGACTCACCCAGACTCATGGCCTTTTCCATTATGAGCATCTCTTTCTGTTAAATGTTTCCTTAACAGTTCTCTGTCTGCTCCTTGGCTCAGTCCTGCTTGACTGTTGCTGATTTACATGCTTGTTTACAGTTTATGAGGAGGAATAAAATGCGCCAACTGCCAAGCTTCTCATTTTTATGACTCCAGTTGTCATGCTAGCATCTATTTCCTATTTATTCACCTTTAGGTAATCGTCTTATCTAATGCTAATAGTTTTATCCATTTAAAGTAGAGAAAAGCCCATGTGCTTCCTTTTGCCTAAATAGAGAAGCAAATAAATAAATAAAGAGAAATCTGAAAAATCCGAAACCTTTGGAGCAATTCCCTGTCCCTGTTTGCTATGTAAAGTATGGCTCATTTCTTTGATCTTGAGTAATAATAATTCTGAGGAGTTATACTGTTTTCATATGCTTCAAAGCTGTGTCAAAGTTTTGCTGCTTAAGGGTACTTCTTTATTCTGTTGGCTCTTGGGTACTAAGATGACAGGTCTTCTGTACGAGGTGGAAGCTTTTTTAAGTCGTAGCCTTCAGCAAAACATCAAATTACCAAATCCAGGGTAACATACTTCTACACAAATGCCTCTCCTGTAGATATATTATACCATATATATTAAATACTTTAGTGTTACATGCTACATTTTACGTGCAATAGAAAGTGATGGTTTGAGGTAGCCTTGGGGGGACTTCTTTTCCACAAGCAGAAAAAGCTAGTGTATACCATATCAAGTATGGTTTTTACAGGACTTTCTGCCCGAAGGCCTTTGTAAATAAGTAATGATCAACAGATTGGCTGTGGGTTTTTGAAAAGCATGCCTTTGTCAGTTTGCATGATGGGGGAGAATTTTCAAAGTGGGTCTTGCTTTCACTGCCTGTCGGAGAGGGGCTGAGGGAGGCAGTCATCCTGGGCTGGAGCTGTCTACTCTGTGCTACATCAGAATTGCTAAACGTGGGTCAGGCAGTGAGCTGAAACTTGCCAAGCTGCAGATCTTGGGTTTCTGGTATTGGTGCCTTTGGCTGCTACAGCGTGGCTACTATTTTATCCCACCAGCCCACAATGGTCTCAGTTGCAGCTCAGCCAGAATAGGTGAGCTGTCCCATGACAAGTCAGAAAGTCTTAGACATTCCTCCTTTATCATGACTTTCCGTGTTCCAGGTGCTCTTCATGCTCTATCTGATGTGGGAGCAAAGACAGGGTGCTGAGCCCTCTCTCTATTTCCCTTCATTTCCATGGGATGAATGAAGAACCCATGGGCAGCTTGCTTTGGTTTGAATATTTGGCACTGGCGATGCGGTTGCCAGGACCTATTTTACTAGATCCCTCTTGTTGATTGACAGAAAACAGAGGGGCTCATGCCTCTGGACCTTGTGGCTTCACCAGGTCCCCCTCACATCTTCAGACACTCCCTTTATGCTTTACAGATATCTTCTCCCAGGTTCCCAGGTTCTCCCAGTACTCCCAGGTTCTATTCCTGATGACCTGAAACATCCATAAAAGAAACTAATGACTTATTTGAAGTGGGTGTTTTGACATGAGTTTGTGGCTTACTGTTTGAGCAGAATCAATCACTCTGAACGTGGGCAGGTTTTAGTAGCCTATGGGCAGTGGTAGGAATAGCTCCAAAAGAAACTGGAGAGCCCAGAATGGGCTAGGATGGGCTTTAATTTACCACTGTGGCTTCTGCAAATAAAACAGGTTCCTGTGTGAGGGTCCCTTGCAAACCATCTGCCAGCATGAAATGCTACTGAGACTCTGCACTAATGGTCTCTGTCAGACTTACCCTGGTTTTTAAGAGTCACTTAACTCTCTGCACGATCATTAGGTGAACAGCCTTGTTTTGTGTGTCTGGGTGCTGAAGCAGTATGTTTTTCAGTCACCCTGACAGAAGACAACCCTCACAGCCAGACTGAGCCAAATGGCAAATGTCTGTGGTCGAAGCCAGGGATGCATGTGTCATGATAGATAACCATTGGCTTCACACCCTGAGGAGGACAAGCCATGGAGGTTACCAGGGCCCTGTTATTTGCCTTCCTTGTTGGTCTCCTAACATGGAATTATTCAAGGAGCTTTTCTTAGTTTTCTTCTAAAATCACCAAGCACCTGTTTGTAATTCTCCCTACTTGGTGGGTTTTTGCCTTGTAAAGATAACTGTGTCTTCCCTCAGTTGAAAGGCCCTAGAGGGCAAGAACTTTGTCTCTAAATAACTAAGTCAGGCGTTCTTAATTTGGGGGCCTCACAGACGGCATTGAATATTCAATGAAACTCTCTAGAAAAAAAAGTACAATGGACACAGTTTTGACTACAGGTGGAGCAGATTCATGAATTCCCTAAATTGCTGCCCTGGTTACAATCACACTCAATTCTTTCCACAGTCCCCTTCAAGTAGTTGCATTCACAAATGCTTTTTGGATGCCGAGAATATTTCTCCAGTGGGTAGATGATATGGAGTAAGTGCGTGGGCTCTCACACTTTATTCTCAAATGCAATCCGAAAAGACTGTGCATGTCAGCTGCTTGCTTCTATTTCTTTTCTCAGACTAATTCCGATCCAGGAAATGTTTAGTGAGAGCCTACTGTATTCATGGCACTGTATTCATGGTGTTTGGGGAGGTCTTTGAGGGGTGTAAAGTAAGATGTACTAGAGTTGGTCCCTATCTTCAAAATGCTTACAGGTTGATGTAGGAGACAGGCAGGCATGTACAGCAAAATAGAAGAGGAACAGCTTAGAGATCTACTAGCATGGGCTGTGAGAGCAAAGAGAGCTGTCATTACCTCTGGTTTGGGAGGCTGAGCCTGGTTTGTGAAGGAGGTTTCATTTAACCTAGCTGTGTAGGATGAGCTATGATGTGTGATATTACCTACGCTTGTTCATCGTTACCCGGGTGCCAGGCATCATTCTAAGCGTGTTATGCCTCTGAACTCATTGAATCCTAACTACAACTCCATGAGTACATATTACTCTTTCCCCCATTTACAGATGAGGAAGCTGAGTCCCAGAGATGTGAAATCTGGTAAATCTAGTAAGTCTTACTTAATTAAGAAGATCTGAACCCAGATAATTTAGCTACCAAGCCCGGGTTATTAACTCTTTCACTATTCTGCTCAATGGAAGAAATAGGGAAAGTGCTCAGGCCTCAGAAGGTGACTTGGCGTAGGTGGAGCATCCTTAGAGTAGGATGACCGGAGTTGAAAATATGAAGGTATTCTGGCATCCACTCCTGAAGGCCTTGACCTGTTGGAGACATTGGAGAACCCTTTCAGGTTTTTGAGGAGGCAGTGCCCTAACTGGTGTTTTAGGAAGATCACTGATGGCAGTAGAAGGAAGTAGAACCCTTTCTCAGAGCCTTCCAGAGAAACAGCTAATGTAAATACAGAGGTGGGAAGAGAAGGCCCAGCCCAGCCCCAGCCTCTGCCAAGTCCTTTGGGTCCCAGACTACTCAGGATCTACTGTAGAACCGTGGACCAGAAGTGGGCTAGACAGTCTTCCCAGGAAGGACACACAGCATTCCTGACATCAGTCCATGTTACGCCTATTTGTCCAGAATCTAGGGGCCTTGGAGTAAGATAGAGTAACATGGGCCATGAGGATTGATGCAGGATACATCAGGTAGACAATTTACACAAAGAGATAGCCCCCAGCCAGGCTAGCAAGGATAACTGATGACACCAAAAACAGCAATTGAACACTATAAAAGGAGCTTTGTGTCATGAGACCCAGGAAATGTTAGATGTTGGTTTCCTGAATATGATTTGAGGAAAAGAGATTACCCTCTTGGGCATTAACTGATCATTAAGTGAAATAAACTCATCTGCTTGTTAAGTCCCATTCCCTCTC